ACCAGGGCCCCCCCCCCCTCCCTCTCGGAGCCGGGACTATATTTGGGAGCTTATGCTGTCAGGGAGGTGATCAAGTTTAGCATATGTCCTCATCCCGTATTCCCCATTAGTCGCTGAACCTTCGCAGACGGCCAGAAGTTCTCCCCTCTCAAGTGTCACCCCCAGAGGCCTCTTCGTTCTCCTCCTTTCTGCTTCACTTACCGGCATGTTTTTACTTCTTCTAGCAACACCGGAGTTGAAGGAGTTCTTTGCCAAGGCTCGGAATGGATCCATCCGCCTTATAAAAGTGGTCATTGAAGATGGTGAGTGTTCTCCTGAGGGGCCATGGGTGGAGAGGGGATAGTGAAGGGGCCATGGATGGAGAGAGGATGGTGAAGGGGCCATGGGTGGAGAGAGGATGGTGAAGGGGCCATGGATGGAGAGAGGATGGTGAAGGGGCCATGGATGGAGAGAGGATGGTGAAGGGGCCATGGATGGAGAGAGGATGGTGAAGGGGCCATGGATGGAGAGAGGATGTTGAAGGGGCCGTGGATGGAGAGAGGATGGTGGATGGAGAGAGGATGGTGAAGGGGCTGTGGATGGAGACGGGATGGTAAAGGGGCCGTGGATGGAGAGAGGATGGTAAAGGGGCCTTGGATGGAGACGGGATGGTGAGGGACCGATGGATAGAGGGGGGACAATGAGAGACTAGTAATTGGGTGGGGACAGTGAGGTGCCCATGGGTAGAGAGGGGTTGATAATGCGCAGAAGGATAGAGTGGACCTGGTGAGGGGATTATAGATGGAAAGGGCATGTTAAGGAACTATGGATGTAGAAGGAATGGGGAGAGGGCTATTGATAGAGAAGAACGATAAAGGACCATGGGTATGTAGGGGATGATGACAGAGCCTTGGGCGGAGAAGGAACAGTGATGGTGCCGTGGATGGAGAAGGCATGTAAGGGAATTATGATGGAGACCAGATGGTAGGGAAAGGTGATGCAAAGATGGATGTTGAGGGGATGGCGAGGGGCTATGGATATTGAGAAGTCAGTAAGGGGACTCTGGATGTAGTGGGGACGGTGAGGGGACTCTGGATGTAGAGGAGACAGTGAGGGGAAAATTTATATAGAGAGGATGGGGAGGGGACTATGGGTGTAGAGGGGATGGTGAGGGAAAATATATATAGAGGGGAGGGAGGGATGGAGTAAACATGGTGAGGGGACTCTGGATGTAGAGGGGGACGGTGAGGGGACTCTGGATGTAGAGGGGGGCGGTGAGGGGACTCTGGATGTAGAGGGGGACGGTGAGGGGACTCTGGATGTAGAGAAGACAGTGAGGGGAAAATTTATATCGAGAGGATGGGGAGGGGACTATGGGTGTAAATGGTACAGTAAGCGGACTATGGATGTAGAGGGGATGGTGAGGGGACTCTGGATGTAGAGGGGGACGGTGAGGGGACACGGGAAGTAGAGGGGGACGGTCAGGGGACACGGGATGTAGAGGGGACAGTGAGGGGACACGGGAAGTAGAGGGGGACGGTCAGGGGACACGGGATGTAGAGGGGACAGTGAGGGGACACGGGAAGTAGAGGGGGACGGTCAGGGGACACGGGATGTAGAGGGGACAGTGAGGGGACACGGGAAGTAGAGGGGGACGGTCAGGGGACACGGGATGTAGAGGGGACAGTGAGGGGACACGGGAAGTAGAGGGGGACGGTCAGGGGACACGGGATGTAGAGGGGACAGTGAGGGGACACGGGAAGTAGAGGGGGACGGTCAGGGGACACGGGATGTAGAGGGGACAGTGAGGGGACACGGGAAGTAGAGGGGGACGGTCAGGGGACACGGGATGTAGAGGGGACAGTGAGGGGACACGGGAAGTAGAGGGGGACGGTCAGGGGACACGGGATGTAGAGGGGACAGTGAGGGGACACGGGAAGTAGAGGGGGACGGTCAGGGGACACGGGATGTAGAGGGGACAGTGAGGGGACACGGGAAGTAGAGGGGGACGGTCAGGGGACACGGGATGTAGAGGGGACAGTGAGGGGACACGGGAAGTAGAGGGGGACGGTCAGGGGACACGGGATGTAGAGGGGACAGTGAGGGGACACGGGAAGTAGAGGGGGACGGTCAGGGGACACGGGATGTAGAGGGGACAGTGAGGGGACACGGGAAGTAGAGGGGGACGGTCAGGGGACACGGGATGTAGAGGGGACAGTGAGGGGACACGGGAAGTAGAGGGGGACGGTCAGGGGACACGGGATGTAGAGGGGACAGTGAGGGGACACGGGAAGTAGAGGGGGACGGTCAGGGGACACGGGATGTAGAGGGGACAGTGAGGGGACACGGGAAGTAGAGGGGGACGGTCAGGGGACACGGGATGTAGAGGGGACAGTGAGGGGACACGGGAAGTAGAGGGGGACGGTCAGGGGACACGGGATGTAGAGGGGACAGTGAGGGGACACGGGAAGTAGAGGGGGACGGTCAGGGGACACGGGATGTAGAGGGGACAGTGAGGGGACACGGGAAGTAGAGGGGGACGGTCAGGGGACACGGGATGTAGAGGGGACAGTGAGGGGACACGGGAAGTAGAGGGGGACGGTGAGGGGGATGGTGAGGGGACCTTGGACGGTGAGGGGACAGTGAGGGGAAATGTATACAGAGGCGAGGGAGGGAGGGGTGGGTGGATTGTTTGGAGTGGACATGGTTAAGGGTCGGTAAGTAGACATGTCGGTGGGAGGAATCCAGAGATGAGGAATTGTGGATGAAGCAATCATTGGTGGTCATTGAAGAATCGGATCCAATCCCATGCAGCGTAGGGTGGATATAAATGAATGTCTGAGCTATCATCAGAAGAAGATTTTGGGGTATAAATTGGTGAAATCTTATAAATTGTAATTTTCTAATGGAGAGACATGATTTGTGTGGACACTACCAGTCCGTGTTCTATAAACACAAGATGAAAATTCTTCACGTCCAATGAAAGCCCCTCCCCCGAGCCTGTAATGAGGGTGACTAGGTTGTTAAAATTCCCTGCAGTCCGGGGACGTGTCGAGCCTTTAATCCTCCCGACACAGACGACCTCATGACCGCTGCAGCACACACGGAAAGTCTGATTATAGATAACTGACACCAATTACTGGAGGACTTTCCAACTCCTTGAAGCCCGTGTCAAGGCAGAAACATCTGCAGCACATTATCCTCCGTGTTGTTCCCATGTAAAGACTCCACAAGTACAGAAAATACCCATTAAAGGGGCAGAAATGCACTCCGCATAATTGTGGGCATCTTTGTGGTGTCAGCCCTGCCCAATGTCTCACGCTAAACTTCTCAACCACTTCCACTCTCAGATCTCTACAACATAAATCATTCTGTGGTCCAAGTTAAGAACTGGGAGGGCTCTTGGCGATAACGAAGGTAAATGTAGTAATTGCCTCTGTTGTTTCTCCCGCCGTGCAGAGCAGCTGGTGTTGGGTGCGCACAAGGAGCTCAGACACAACTGGGACAAGGACTACGACACCTTCATCCTCCCCCTGCTGGACGACACGCAGCCATGCTACATCCTCTACCGGCTCGACAGCCAGAACGCACAGGGGTTCGAGTGGCTCTTCCTGTCGTGGTCACCTGATCACTCTCCGGTACGGTCCCAGACTCCTCCTCCTATGATACAGACCCAACGATCTGCTCCCTGCACATGGCAAATGGAAGGTCCTCTCTTTTTTTGCCAACCTCCTGCCCTCTAATGCAAAAGGCTTGGAGCAATGACTCCGCCCCCCCAAAACCCAACAACCGGAGTTATTTTTCATAATGGAATGAGTCCTTGGGCTTGTGGGGAGATGGAGGACGGGAGTTGTGAATTCCAGCACCCCCTGTATCTCTACGGAGGGTTATCCGTGCTGCAGATCCTATTCTTGCTTTATGCACAGCGCCATCTAGTGGAGGAAAGGGAGGATTACACCTGCAGGGAGAGGAGGGATGCCAGGTCTGGTCTTGTATGGGATTGTTGTATCTTATATTATGTGGTCCCCAGAATCAGGAAATGTTTTCACACAATGAAAAGAGACCTTAGGATCTGTGACTGGAGAGACTACAACTCCTATCAGCCAATGAAGCAGTGGGACTTGTAGACGTCACCTCCTTGTAGTCCATGGATTGCTTCCTCCGGCCCTGGGACTGAAGTTCCGTACCTCTGGTCAGCGCTCCGCATTCAGTTTGTCTGCTCGGGGGCCGTACAGGGCGCGCTGGGAGCCCAAAACTGGAATGCAGGAGGAGCCCACCCTCTGCCAGCTTCTATTGCTGTTTGTGTCACCATATGACCAATTTGCTCTCATTTCCTGTCCCTGT